GAGTTTGAAGAAAATCAAAGTAACCATAAGGGGTTATTTTGATAGATGGTAAATAAGAATACAACTTTTTAAAACTTTTTTTTATGTTAACTTTTTGAAACTTTTTAAATTAAAATATAACTTCTTTTTTGAGTTAAGTCTTCGAGTTTAATAATTCTCTTCAAGCCGTAATATTTGAATTTAATTAACCAAAAGTTTGATTTTCATTAATTATTTTAAAAAAATTTCAATTTTTTCATAATTTTCCATGTTCAAAAAAATATATATTTAACCTTTTTTTCATTATTAATTAAGTCTACTATAGTTCAAAAGTTTATAATCAAAGATATTATCCTCGACAATTTACTAACAAAGATTAAGTGGATATATATAGGGATGGCAAATTGCTTCGATCTCTGCGGGATCTTTGTCATGGAGACAGGGTGGGGAGGAATATTCCTCCCCACGAGACGGGGACGGAGGGCATTTTCCCCCTATGAAATTTCACGGAGAATTTTCCCTACCGCAGGGATCCTCTTCCCTGCCGCAGGGATCCTCTTCCCTGCCGCAGGGATCCTCGTCCCTGCAAAAAATTAAAAAGAAAATATAAATTAATTTCATTTTAAATTTAATATAATTTTAAAATCCAAACCCAATTCAATAAAATTTAACCCAATCCAATCCTTTTAACCCTAAGCAGCCTTATTCATTTCTCCATTTCTCCAGTGATTGCCTCTGCCTCTCACTCTCGTACTCTCTCACTCTCAGACTCTCTCACACCCACTTAAGTCATCTTCCACCTTTCCTTTTGGCCCTCCACTACAAATCTCAAACCCTAAATCCCTCGATCCCTTCATTGCCACCCTTCTACCCTTCTCTATTTCACATCTCACCCTTTTGCCTTGAACTGGAGTCTGGATTGCTGCTGCCAAACCAAATCCATCTGAGACTTTTGCTGTGCCACGGCTGCTGCTTCGCCACTGTTGTGCCACTGCTCTACCATTACTCCGCCACAGCTACTACTATGCCACTGTTGCGGTTGTTGCTCAAAGTCGAAGTGAATGTGTATATTTAGATATTTTGGGGGGGAATGAGGACAGAGGCAAAATTTGTCCCTCATAAAAAATTTTCGCGGAGATCTTCGTCCTCGTCATTCGAAGGGACGAGGATGGGGATGGGGACAGGAATGGGAATGAGGACGAGACTCCCCGATCCCGAGAGACTCATTGACATCCCTAGATATATACGCTAACATGTCTAACGGCTTTTTTTTACGGGCACTTTTTTCACTGCAGTGTTGTAAAATGGACAGCATGGACGATGATACGGAAAAAAATGAGAGCAAAAAGAAAGGGGGCATAAAGCAATTGTTTAAAAGGAAATGATTGAGAAATAATTTTTTTATATAATTTTTTTATATAATCTTAATATTATTTAATAATTGATTATTTTTAATATATTGAGATTTATAATTATATATATCGATTCATTTAATGATATATAAAAATTATATAAAACAATTATATATATATCATTATAACTGTGGTTATGGTCACATAAATTTTATTTAATTTGATTGATATTTGTAATTTTTTTCCTTAAACAATTGGTTATGAAATCTGAAATATCAGTTTTTAAATTTATTTTAATTTATTAAATAATAAATATTAATTATTTTAATAATTAATTAACTATTCTTAACAACCAAATCAAAGAGAATCAATAAATTTTAAACAATAT